GCTTTCTAGAGCCAATTTGTGTGAAGTTTGAGTTGTTCTTGAGCGTATATATTTTACTCATATCCACTCTTAAGGAGAGTCTTGTTCTTGAGTGTCTTAGTGTTGTATACATGTTAAGGGAAGCTTGTTTCCCTTGGTTGTACGAAGGAAAGGTATTTTCCTTCGGGTTGAAGTCTTGGAGTGCGGTATCTCCGAGCAAAGTTGTTGAGGCTCGTGGGACTCGAGTTCTCAGGTTGTAACGGTTTGTTAAGCACCCGTAAGCTTAACGGAAGTAGTGTAGCTCGAGAGAGTCTCTCGGGAGACTGGATTAGCCACACGTTGTGGTGAACCAGTATAAATCTTGGTGTGCTCCCTTTACGCTTTCTACGCTCTTTACTTTTCACGTTCTTAATTTTTTATTCCTGCGATTTCTACGATCAAACGCTATTCACCCCCCCTCTAGCGTTGGTCACTTATTCTAACACCTATGACCCTGATAATGAGTCATATGAGGAATGGGTGAACCGGCTGGAAGCGGCCGGTTACTTTCCCCTCCCCACTAGCTACCCCTTAGACATTTTCCCCCATGTTTCCAAGATTGCCCAAAATAAGGTTCGTAGGAATCTCCCGGAGGGGTATGTCCTTGAATTCGACCCCAGCTGGCCGAACATTATCGAGCCTCACCAAGATGATAGAATAGGCTTCCATATCACTTCTTTGGAGAGTGGCACTGTCTTCCCCCTCCGTCCCCTCCTTGTCGAGTTGTGCCATTGTTTTAAAGTCCTTCCCGGGCAAATTACGCCCAATGCCCACCGTTTCCTCAACGCCTTTGTAAATATCTGCGTTGAACTTAAGATCGACCCTTCCCTTCGCCTGTTTCTCTTCTTGTTTGAAGTCCTTCCCGGTAAGTCGGGATGCGACGGTTATGTCTATTTCAAGGGCTGTAATGGTCGTCAATTTATCTCTGACCTTCCAAAAGGAACCGGCAGTGGAAGGAAAAATTTGTTTTTATAAAATTTCCTTCCATTTCTCCTCTGGCTTGCATAAAGTGGAACGATCACCTCCTGAAAACGCAATACACTGAGTCGGCTAGCGCTCTAGACTTGGAAGAAAGTTTGGAGAAACTTCTACAAGGGGACCCGTTCACCGGGCAAATGTTCCATTACGGGGCTTGGATTTGGAGAATCTCACCGGGTGGCACGGGTACCCCCAGGGCTGATGAAGCAGCGGGGCATGGGGTACCCGCCCCGGGCAACACTGCGGAGGCTGGGGGCTCCAGTCACCCAGGTATCCTTTCCTAATTTTTCCTCATTCTCTGATTACATCGGTCAGGGTTGCAATACTTACACGTTTTTACTTGTTTCCTGTAGACATGAATTTCAGGTCTTTCACCATCCCGAAGAAGAAGACCGGTGGCCCTTCCTCTGCTGCCCCCAAAACCGTACCGGTCCAACAGGAACCGGTGGAGATCCATTCTGATGAGGGGTCTCCTCTGACCGGGAAGACCGGTCAGACCGGGAGGACCACGGTAAACCCTCCCCTGGACAAGGGGAAGGGAAAAGTTTGAACCAAGCATGCCGCCACTACCCATCCCTCAGCGAAGAGGAGAAGGGGAGAAAACGCCCCGGCCTCAGAGTCGTTAGAGGAGCTTTGGGTCAAGATGGGGCAAAAGTTGAAGGAGGTAATACTTGCCCAGCATATTTTCTTGAATTTTCTACTTGTCTGTCGCACTAACCGGTACGTTTCGTTTTGCAGATGGGCGAGGTTGGGCCTGATGCCCTGGAGCAGCTCGCCAATGATTCTCCTTCCCGGTCATCCCAATTGGAGGAAAAGCTGAAGAGGTCCGAAGCACACAACCGGGAGCTTCAGGATCTAACAATCCGCCAGCTTGAGGAGATGGACAATCTCTCTAGGATGGCCGGAGCAACTCAGGCTGAAATCCTCCGATTGAAGGAGGAGAACCTAAAGCTGATGGAGGATTTGGACTCCAAGGAGCTAGAGTTTCCCGACAGGGCCAAGCAATGGGTGGGGGAGAACTTGGAGGAGACGACCCGGGTGATTACATCTATTCCGGAGGTGACGATGGAGGCCTTCAAGTTCATCTACCGGGAACCCAACGGGAAGGAAATGGTCACCCAGGTTGGGTCCTATGGTTTCATGTCCGGGCAGAAACGAGACCTGGAGGCTACACATGCAATCTTGGCTGAGCAGGACTCAGCCTTCTCTGCCGATGCTTATGGCCTGGCCCCTATCCCCGATGAAGAACCCGAGCCCCCTTTCCCCTTGGAATGAAATCTCCCCGGTTGAATCGTTTTGTAAAATTTCAAACTCATTTCCCCAGGAATGCCCGGTGTAGCTGTAAAACACTTAACTTTCTCAAATTTTTATTGAATGCAATGTTTGATTTCCATACCGGTTGATCTTGCTTCTTGATCGATATTTTCATTTTTCTCCTTAGAATGTCTTCGTAAAAACTCTGACCAGCTACACTTTCCTGTAATCGAAATAGACCGGTTGAACTCCAACTTTTACTTTTGAATGTCTTCATCTTTGATGGTCAACTTGAAAAAGTTCGACCGGCTGAACTTTACTTTGACTTTTGGATACCTTCATTTTTCTAGTGAATTATTCGATAAAGTACAGTTCGACCGGTTGAAACGCACTTCGTGGTCCGACCGGTCAACCACTTTGCCTTGAGGAACTTTCGAAGTTTCGTTGTATCGATACCCAACCGGCGTATTCCTTTTTTTTTTGACCGGTAGGTTGTAGATGGAAGCACCTGTAACCTAGTAATTCTTGAAGTATCCTTAACCGGTAAGAATACTGGAGATTTAACCATGTCGAATGATTTCAAACCCTCTCCAAGGTTCAAATGCACCCTTCTTCCAGGGGCCCCTCTTCCAGGTGATTAAGTCTTTTAATGGCCCTTTAATTTCTACTATCCCGGGAATGCCTTAGCTCACCCTCCCATTCAAGTCTTCCCTGAGAAGGGGGAAACAGGATGCGCCACGGTGGACGATCCCCTTCTATTTCTTTTAATGGCATCTTTTAGTCCCCAATCAATTTGACGGTACCGGCTGATTCCCCGATACCGGTCAAACCTCATGGGCCCGTGTATGTATGGTTCGAACCTTCTTCCAGGTCCAGCCCTCTTGCAGGCATACCCTCTTCCGGGTTTTAATATTTTTTCTATTATACTGAGCAAGACCGGTGTAGTAACCAGCGTGCCAGGTCCGGGCCTGTGTCTCAGTTGGCTTATCCAAGTGGATTCGATCCACCCGAGAAGCCCTCCTAGGATAGGTTCGACCTATCAATTCCGCCGCTACCAAGTAGAGTATTGAACATCACTTTGATTGATAATGTAGTTAGGCCTCGCCTAATATTACAATCATTTGTAGAACTTGCGAAGATGGTGGGAATTCCAAGTTCTTTCTACCGGTACACCATCTAAACTTTCTAACCGGAAGGTTCCTGGGCGAATGATGGCTCTAACCATGTATGGGCCTTCCCAATTTTTTTGCCAACTTTCCTCCATCGCCTGGTCTACTTGCCTCTCTTCTTCGTAGGACTTCATCTGCAACTTGGAAGTATCGCGGCCCAACCTTGTTGTCATGGTACTTCTTCACAACTTGTTGGTATGTACTCATCCTCACCTCTCCCGCCATCCTTCGTTCATCGACCAAGTTGAGCTCGGCTAGATGGTCTTCTTCATTTTGTTGGGGCTATTAATTTGATTCCCGGAACGTTGGGAATTCAGCTTCGATGGGCAGCCATGCTTCACACCCATAGGTTAGGGAGAATGGAGTTTCCCCATGAGCCCTCCTGGGTGTTACTCGGAATGCCCATATGATGTGCGGGAGCTCTTCTAGCCATTTGTTTCCTGCTTTTCCCAGCCGTTTCTTCAAACCATCTACGATAGTTCTGTTAGCGTTTTCGACTTGGCCATTTCCTTGGGGATACGCCACCGAAGAGCGATTGTGCTTGATTCCGAAGCCCTCCAAGTATTCGGTGAATCTTGGATTTCGGAATTGTGGGCCGTTGTCGGTGATGAGGTTCATGGGCGCTCCAAACCTCGTGATGATGTTCTTCCAAATGAATTTCTTGCATTGCTGCGTGGTGATGTTGGCCAATGCTTCGGCCTCGATCCATTTGGTGAAGTAATCGATGGCTACGATTACGAACTTCTTCCCTCCTTGGGCGACTGGGAAGGCTCCAATGATATCAACCCCGAATCTAGCGAATGGGATGAAATTCGATACGGGGTGATAGTAGGTCGCCGGTCTACCCGGATACTTGTAGAACACTTGGCATGTTCTGCATTTCTGAACATACCTTTCACAATCCTGGACAATTGTTGGCCAGTAATACCCCAATAAGATGATGCGCTGGGAAGGCGTACGGGACATTTGGTGCACCGCGCACACGCCTTCGTGGACCTCCGCTATGACTCGCTCAGCCTCCCGGTTAGTTCGACATCTCAGGAGTGGCCCCCCGAATGCCCTTTTATACAGCTGGCCATCAAGAACTTGGAATCGGGGTGCCCTGAGCTTCACTTTTCTTGCCCGGTCATCTTGTTCTGGCAAGCTCCCATCCATCAAATATTCCATCAGATCACATATCCAATGGTCGTCCGCCCCGACCAGGTTTGACCAGTCTGATAGGCTTCCGGCTGTTATAGCGGCGACTTCTAATTTTTCAATGCTGGCTCGATCCAGGATTTCCACCCGGGCAAGTTTTGAAACATGCTCGGGAGCATACTGCGTCAACTTGGAGAGAAGGTCTGCATCCGCATTCTCCGCCCGGGAAATTTGGGCGATCTTGAATTCCTCGAAGCCTTTCAACAAGGCGAGCACGAGCTCCTTGTATTGTGCCATGCGTCCTTCCCTTGCTTCCATGTTACCGGTCACTTGCCCAACAATCAGGCTAGAGTCAGATTTGATACTGACCCGGCTGATTTTCAGGGCTTGGGCAAGCCTGAGCCCTCCAGCGAGAGCTTCATATTCTGCCTCATTGTTCGTCAGCTTGAAGTTGAAGACGATTGCATGGTAGATCTTGAACCCTTCTGGGGTGATGAACACGATACAACCCCCGTATCCTCTAGGACCGGATGCTCCACCAACTGCCATCTCCCACCATTGCTCAGCGGGTTTGTTGGCAGGTAGGCCTGGAGTTAGACCGGTCATTTCTACCAGGAAGTTAGCAAGGGCCTGTCCCTTGATTGCTGACCTTGACCGGTACTCAATGTTGAATTGAGTTAACATCATCGCCCACTTCACCATCCTCCCGGATGATGCTGAATTTCGCAACACTGCACCCAGCGGTTGGTCAGTCAAGACTTCCACCGGGTGAGCTTGGAAGTAGGATGTTAACTTTTTTGCGGAGATGAAAAGCGCATAGGTTGTCTTTTCCATCGCCGTATCTCTACTCTCAGCCCCGTTTGGTGCTTTGCTCACATAATAAATGGGCTTGTGTGCCCCATCATCTCTTATTAAAACGGAGCTTACAGCATTTGGGGAAATTCCCAGGTACAGATACAGAGTTTTACCCGGTTCGGGTTTAGACAATACAATATCCGACGCTAGGTACTCTTTCAGCTCCTCAAATGCCCTCTGGCATTCTTCGTCCCATGCAAATGTGTTGGCCTTCTTCAAAACTTTGAAGAAGGGCAGGGATCTCTCAACTGACCGGGAAAGGAACCGGCTGAGGGCCGCTAGACGACAGGTCAACTTTTGAACATCCCTAACGGAGGTAGGGGCTTGCATTTCAGTGATGGCCCGGATTTTTTCTGGGTTGGGCTCTATTCCTCTCTTGGTCACCATGAATCCTAGGAACTTCCCGGTGCGAACCGCGAAGACGCACTTCTTGGGATTTAACCGGAGGTTGTACCTTGCCATGATATCGAATGTGGCTCGCATATCAGCCGGGTGGTTGAGAGATACCTAGCTTTTGATCAGCATGTCGTTGACGTATGCTTCCATGGTCTTTCCCAGTAGTGGCTTGAAGAATTTGTTCATCATGCGCTGGTAGGTTGCTCCTGAGTTCTTCAAGCCAAACGCCATTACCCGGTAGCAGTAGGTTCCTTCGGGTGTGAGGAATGACGTCTTCTCTTCATATTCCTTGGCCATGTAGATTTGGTTGTAACCCTTGAAGGCATCCATAAAACTTAGAAGTTCGCACCCCGCAGTTTCATCCACCATTTGATCTGGACTGGGAAGGGGGTATGAATCCATCGGACAAGCCTTGTTCAAGTCCGTATAATCCACACACATTCTCCACGTGTCGCCCTTGGGAGCAAGGACAACGTTGGCCAGCCAATCCGGGTATTTGACTTCCCGAATGTGACCAACACTGAGGAGGTCCTTCACTTCCTTCTTGACGAAGTCTCGACGGTCACTGGCCAGGTACCGCTTCTTCTGACTTACCGGTCAACTTCCTTCCCTCACGGCCAACCGGTGGCAGATAACAGAGCGATCTATCCCGGGCATATCCGCCACGCTCCATGCGAATATGCCCGCGTATTCTTGGAGGACCCGTGTAATCTCTGCCTTGAGATCCTCGGGGAGATTTGCTCCAATTCTGACCATCCTCGAAGAATCACCCGGGTGAAGTTCGATTTCCACCGTCTCGGGCTCCAATTTTTCCCCGGTCTCTCCCTTTGTGATTTCTTGGGAGATGACATTGACCCCCTTGGTCATCTTCTTGACTGACCGGGCATAGCATTTCCGGGCATTCCTCTGGTCACCCTTCACCTTACCCACACCACCTAGAGTGTGGAACTTCATGCATAGATGAGGCATGGAAATCACCACCCCGACTCTATTGATGCCTGGCCTTCCAAGAATTGCGTTGTGGACGCATTTGATGTCCACAACTATGAACCGCATCTTCTTCCATACGGTTTTTTCACCAGATCCTAGTTCGACCGGTAGAACTATGGATCCTTCGGCTTCCACTGTATCTCCCGTGAAGCCCGAGAGAGGAGTCTTCAGGGGTTCAAGTTGTGTCCGACACAACCTGAGTTTTTGGAAAGTCTCCACGTATAAGATGTTGACACTGCTGTCGATGTCAACAAGTACCCGGGCGACATCCACCCCATTAATGTCCATGGTGATGACCAATGGATCATTGTGATCTTCACCGGTAGGAGGGAGATCCCGGTGAGTAAAGACGATCGGCTCCCTCCTAGTATGCTTACGCCTGGGCGGTTCAGCGCTTACCTCACCAACGTAAATGCTGCGGACCCATTCTTCCGCTGCGCGGCTGAATCTCCACCTTCAGGCCCGCCAAAGATCATTCCGATATGCTCTTTTTCAGGAGCAGGTTGCCGCTCCCTCTGCCGGTTATTCCTCCACCGGTCGTTGTCCCGGTCATCTCCCGGGGCAGCTGGCCTAACCCATTGATGACTCTTCTCCTAGGCTCTCTGCAAGTAATCCTTGTCCAGTTCTCCACTCTCTATCATCTGCCGGATGACTCCCTTAATGCTTTTGCATTCGGAGGTGTTATGGGAATCTGACCTGTGGTACGAAAAATAGGTGCCCGACCACTGCCGCCCTGTTTGATCGGTAGGGTTTTCCGGAGGAATGACCGGTGCTTTCCGGATTTCTTGGCATTCTTCCGTATTGACCATACGAACGACCGGGTCATAGTGGTGCCTTGGCCGGCTGGATCCCGGTGTTTCTTCCTTCTTGACTTGCACCGGGTTGGGCTTGAAACCATGCTCAGCTTCTTTCTTTTCCCGGAGTTGAGTTTCAGCCTCAGCAAACTCCCATGCAGTATGGTAGGCCTCTTGGTGCGTGGTCGGGGGTTTCCGGCAGAACTCCTTGTATAGTTCCCCGGCACGCAAGCCATTCAAGAAGAGGGATAAGACGGTCTTGTCATCCATCTCTTCCACCTTGTCTACCTCTTCCTTCCACCGGGTAAGGAACTGAGTAAGGTTCTCAGACTCCCTCTGCCCGGCTGTACTAAGATAGGTGAATTTCTTCCTCTTAGTACAATTCTCCTGGAACTTGGCCTTGAATTTCGAGGCCAAATCACTGAACGAATCAATGCTTCCTGAGCGAAGCTTATTGAACCATTCAGTGGCTCGGTTCCGCAAGGTCTGAAAGAAAAGAAAGCACTTTTCTTCATCGGTGCAACCGTTCATGGTTGCACTCTGGTTGAAGGAGTCCAAATGGATTTCCGGATCTTCCTTCCCGGTGAATCTAGGGGCGTCGATCTTGACCTTTCATGGGAAAGGTGCCAGATGGACCCTTGTGGTGAACGGGGACCCCGCCAGGGGTTTGTCCCGGTCATTCTTCTCCCCGACCTTCTTTTCCAGCCTCTCCAGTTTTGCCTCCATCTGCTGGACGCGGTCATTTGGGATGGTCAACCGGTTCGCCACCAGTAACCTGGGCTGGCTCTCTGCTTCCTCTTCCTGACGAGAGGCCCTCGTCCGCGCTTGCTCCTGCGGATTAGACCGGGAGCACCGGGTGCGGGCAGGCTCGGCCTCCCGCACCTCACCTAACCGGGCGAATGCGCTGACATGAGCAACGCTCTACCCCAGCCTCTGTTTGGCGGACTTTCTCTGGCCCTCTTCCCTGTCCCCCAGCCTTTCGAAGGCGGAGTTTCGGGAAGTTGCTGGGCGGATAGTTTCTCCCTTTTTCTTCTTGTGAGCCCTCGGAATTTCCTACTCGCCGTCATCACTCTCAATTGAGACGCAATGACCATCAGGGGTGACTTGCAGATTCGTACCTTGCGGGGGACGCGACGGCCCTGCAGCGTTAAGCGCGCCAGTCAAGTTGACAGGGGCCATGGTGCTGACCAGCTGCGGCTGGAAAGGTGATGGCTGCGGCATCGGCGTCTGGAACGGCGACACTGCCATCGGAGCTTGTAGGGGCATGGTTCCCGCGCCTAGAAGAGCGAACGGGAACATACCAGGGAGAAAAGGCATCCCCCCATTCTGTTGGCACATGGCCATGACCTGGCCAAAGCCCTGGATGGCTTGTAGGTTGGCTGGGTCATTCATGAACTGAGTCATGCTTGGTGGGAACGTGACCCTTGGTCCAGCGGAAGGGACGGGGGTCGCGAAGGGGCTGATCACGCTAGGTGTTGGGACAGAGCTCAGACCCAAAGGCAATACTGGGGCCGAAATGACCGGTAGGGTAGCAGCCACAGGGATGCTGGTACCTTCATTGGTGGCTTGCACCTGAGTGGAAGTAGCGTTGATTTGCTGACAGGAAGACATTTTGAGTGGTGTTTTTGTGGGTAGGTTTGTGTTTAGAAGAGAAGAAACCTTAAGGGTCCCACGGGTGGCGCCAAAAATGATGGTGTAAATTACTTGACCGGTCAAACTATACCAGACCAGGTCTAGAATAGTTTGCTTGATTTGGTAAAGTAAGAAAGGTAAAAACACGCAGATTGACCGGTAGGACTTTAGGTGGAACACCTGTAGACCAATTTATATTATAACGGAGAATGCACAGGTGCTTTTACAAGGGAGTTTAGAGAAAGTGAATTCGGATCCCTCTTTCTGAGGTTTACAAGAGGTATATATACTAAGCTGGGGGACAGGACCACGTGCGCCCACGTGGGGGCATGCTGCCGATGTGGTGCGAGATGACTGTCCCTGAGCTGCCTTGTCATCTTGCGAGGGGGATTACTTCCCTTGTCGCGTTCTGGCTTGGAAATATTCCTCCAGCATCTCCACTAAGTCCCCAACAATGCCAATCACTACAGTCCAAGTCCTTTTGGATTCTTCTGCCGACACTTTCCAATCATTAAAAACCGCACCGGTTGATTCTTGAGGGTTGATTAGCTAGCTTCGAAGGATGGATTTAGACGATAGAAAAGTTTGACCGGTATACTATCCGAAGTGTACTGGTCAACCTTTTGGTCAACCATCTATCCCCTTCGCCGACGATTCAGGTCCTCTACTCATGTTTGACCTCTTTGACCGGTCAACTATTTGGTTCCGTCCTTTGACCGGTCATGGGTGAGATACACCCATCATCTAGATACATCCGAATACCATATACACTCTCCAAAACATTGGCCAACCAATTCAGATACATAACCTTGCGTATATGGCAAATACTTTAAAGGCTATAACCAAAGGTGGCTACGAAGCCTATCCTCGTCTTAAGCCTGCAATTAGCACTTGGCAGGCATGGATCAGATTTTTGAGCAGGGTTGTAAATAATTCAAATAATTTTGATTCATTTCGTGATTCATATTTGTGTTTGAACAAATCAAATCTGAACCCGAATACGAATAGTAATTGTTATTCCCGATGTTTACGAACACGAATATATCTATACTCAAATCAGTTCGTAAATGAATATATTCGATAAAATGGTTTAAAATTATAAATTTAAAAAAATTACTCCCAACATTACAAAACGATCTTCTTATTTGACTTTTTACAGTCTTCAATATAAATATTTTGACTATTAATATCTACATTTATACATTCATTTATTTTATAAAAAGTTAATATTTCAAAACTATCTTTTATTAAGAAACTATTGGTATTACACATATACACGGAAACACGATGCATTTTTTCCATATATTAACATCAAAGTTTGCAAAATTTAGTCATGAAAAGTCAAATGACAAAATCATTTCGGGACGGAGTAATAGAGAATTAACTAATTACTTCAAAATTAAATGTATGATTATATTTACATCTTTAATACGTAAATTATGATCAATTTATGATTTTTTTCCCCAAATAGCTAATGCCAAACCACATCTATACAAAGAGTTTTTTGAAAAATAGTTTAATATGAATTACATTTTTAGAAAATTAAATGTTTATAAGCTAGTATTTTTAAAATTTAAACAAATCAGATATTATTTTTAAGCAAACCAGATATTTTTAAACCAACCAAAACTTTAAACGAGTTGAATATCGTATGTACATTATGATTAAAGAATCGAATTCAAATCTCTGAAATTATTTGAAATGAATACAAATACAAATATGAGTACCATCGAAAACTAGCAAATATGAATAATATTCCTAAATATTCTTAAATAATCCCACATTTTTACATTTTTTTAATAATAATCTCACTTTTCACTATCACCAGAAATAATCTCACCTTTCTGAGTGCGAGTTTTGGACTATCGTTAAAAAGCTAACGACCACTTAACAAAATCTTTGGAAAATGTCTACTTTTGCAAATAAATGAAAAATGAGATTACTTTAGGCAATACAGTTTTTTATTTTTTAATTTAATTTTAAATTTTACCCGAGTATGTTTTTTAAAAATATAGCAGTACACTCTTGTTAATGATTTGTCCCAATTTTTGTAAAGAAAATATAACGATTTACAAATTTAGAACTCCCTAGTACGTAGGAGTAAAAAATTACTCCCTCCGTCCTATATCTTTCTTCCCAATGCGCAAAACAAAGAAAAATTTCAAGTTTTTTCAATCTATTTTATTTAAATATTGGTATAGAAATAAAAAATAAAACATACATATTTAAAAACTACATCAAAAGTCCAACAAAACAAGTAGTGACAAGAATATTTTATTTTATCATATAGGTCATGAAAAAACACAAATAAATATAAATTCTCGTGACGTTGGAATAGTGCCTTGGGAAGAAAGTTTTAGGACAGAGGGAGTATGAAAATACAAAAATAGGAGTTCACATTGTCAGTGTTACACTGTCACACTTACCAGATTGTTACATTGTAACTGCCGATCTGACATACTATCATCGCCACGCTACCATCCGTCGCCTCCGGCGATCAAAGTGCCGCCACAGATCACTGGCGGTTGATTGATTACACTGATAATACATTACGTTGTCATCACTTTTGCATCATACTCTCCACACGTACTCTTGCACCACACTGTCATTATACTCCTATTTTGATCTTAAATGATTTAAGATTCCTATTTTGATATTTCCATATTTTTTACTCTTATTTAGAGAGATTTCTTGAAATATAATATTATATTATCGAAAAATATTTTAGAATATCACTCGAAAAGAAAATTGTAATGCAAAATAAAGTTGTCGTGAGTTATAATATTCTGTCATTTTCACAATTTTTGAATTATTATTTTGGGGAAAACATTTGTATTGAATTATCGAGAAAAAATCACAAGTTGTATAGTGCCATTTTAGAAAAACATAATACGGGTAATAGAAGATAATCAATAAACATTTCAAAATGTTGTTCATGAAAAAATCACAATACAACAAAAAATGTAGTGGGTTATAAAAATAAAATTTTCATTTCAGAAAAAAAGATATTGTGTTATTTTCAGAACTGTTGTATTGTTGTTTTGCAAAAAGAATTACGTAGAATTATCAAAAAATATTCACAAGTTTTTGTAGTACCATATTTTAAAATATAATAATTGTATAGTATTCAAAAAAGAATTCGAAGTGTCGGTCAAGAAAAATAATTGAAACTTACAAAAAAATGTAGTGAGTTATGAAATAAATAAATTAACTCTATTGTTTAGAATAATTTATTGTTCAATTATTACCAGAAAATGAGATTATTTGAGATAATTTTCTCAATATTAAATTCAGTTCATTTCAATTAGAACCCTACTTCTAGGGCCCAGAGGCTATAAATGCATGTGCCTTGTACAGTTGTACATGGGGCCGGCGGATATTGTTAAACCCAATACGGCAATACCCAACATACATCAATCTTTTACTTCCTCCGTCCCACATTTAATTATAAATTGCGACTTACGAAGTAAAATTTTCTACTTTTTGAAATCATTTTATTTACAAATTGGTATATCAATAAGATATAAAAATTAGATATTAAAAAATATATCAAAAGTTCTACAAAACAAGAGGTGACAAGAATATTTTATTTTATCAAATACTTAATGAAATCGCGTAAACAAACAAAAGTTATCGAGAGAAGAGAGAAAAAAAATTGAATCTATTTAGGGACGGAGTTCGCGTAATGAAATCGCTTACAAAGAGATTATTTTTTTTATATGAAAGGAACATACATCAATATTAAGAAGAGCAGAAATAGAAGGAAAAAAATTGGCGCTTAGCAAGTCGTAATTATTCATATAAGAGCATAAGCATTGAAGCAATGGTGAAAGATGGTTGAATTGATCAAAACAAAAGGTCGAAGAGAGACAAAGATGCTCATAGGCATTCAGTAATGAACGAATAAAATTGGCAAACTGGCTTTTTATTGTTTCTAAAAAAAAAAAGAATTAGTGGAACAAGAAATGAAGTGTTTGGTAATTACACGTAAAAAAAAAGGAAAAGAGGGTTCCTCCTTTCTTCACTTGGTAGGCTTAACTCTGAAGCCAACAGCCATATATAATGAAGGGGAATTCTCTACAAGCCATTGTTCGGGGAAATGTATAGTATGTCCCTCTCTCTTTCCTCATTGGGAATGGGTTTTTTGGCACTATACAATACGTATTACAGATTGGCATGTCTTTGTACACTGGATTGAATCAACCAATCAATCAAATACCCGCCCAAAACTGTGCGTTTTTCACAACTCTACTCATGTCTCGCGCTGGGAGATCATGTTCCTCCTCTCATCAGATCGATGACGGAACAATTTGGCTATCTTTCGCCTTTCGCAGTCCTGCAGTGAAAATAACACTGTATATACATAACTCCGTATATAACCCGTCATTATGTGTTGCTGCCAGACAACTGAGGGAATATGATGCACAAGCTAGAACTATATGAATAATCTGAAGATCATAATCATGAAATGGTAAAATAATAAACCTTGTAATAATCCCACATAAATAGGGTCTCGGGAGGATGTGTACGCAGACCTTTCCCCCGCTCGAAAATAGCGAGGTTGTTTCCAAGAGACGCAATCAAAGTAAACAAAGAAAGAAGACACAAAGCACAACCAAAGCAATGGTATGACTGTTAGAGATAATCAAAATATAACTACTCCATATATTTTAAAATTTAATTGATGATTTTTCAAAAAAAAAATAATTGCTGATTTAATTAGATTCAACACACATACACACCTTGGTTGGATACTTGTAAAATATTTTAAAATTTAATTGATGATTTAATTAATATTAACACAAAACTTGTTGGGGATACTTTTCTTGTAAAAAAAAATAACATCTGAAAACGAACATTTTTTTCAAAAAAATTGAGCTATCCCCACAATTCAAATACAAATCAACATTCCTAGTGTGGACCACGAACACTTTTCTTGAAGATGAGACTAGTTGTATTTTATGCTATAAGGAAGATTGAAAACTGGCTTGAAGGTTACATAAAGGATAAAAACAGGAAAATCACTTGGACAGAAAAATTTGTGACCGACGTATATATACCAGAGGTTTAAAAACTTCAAATGCATTTTACTCTAGGGCAAATTTATGCAGCTGAGACAAGGAGGTACTGTGGGGGACCACACAGAAGCGTTCGAAGAAATGAGAGTATGGATGTTCTTAGAGAATCCATCCTTGTGTGATGATACCTTGTGAGCAACTACATTAGCACTCTCAAACAAGGGCTGAAACATTT